AAACGTAAGTCTACAAACATGATGATATACCCTTTGACTCCTGACCATAGGAAAACCCACAGCGATAGGGTTAAAGAACTACTTCAATTAAGCTAAAGTGCTCTACAAGTAAGTGCCTCAAACATAATCCAGAAAATTATTTTACTTCTTCTTGATAAGATTACAGAGTGTTGAGAATGTTATATTAAAATGATTTTGAATATGCATTTCAGCAAGTCACATGATAATGATAGTTAGTATATGCAGTGAATGATGTATATCAAAACTGCATTGTGACATTGTTTTGCATTTCACATAGTGTAATTCCTTTGAAAATTGATCACTATTGGGAAGGGTTCATAACAGCCCCTTCAGATGCAAAATATTCATACTCTCAGATCATTTTTCATGTGTTCAAACTGAGATTTAGATTTGCAAGATGAATATAACCCATGTACGTCATGGCACTGGAAAATAAAAGAACATTAAGGAACCATAACCATCCAGAAAGAGACTTGCAACAAGTCATACACCAACCATGGTAAGCAAAGTACAGCATCTAGTAATAGGTGAGAACCAATAAACATAAATTTCAGTGGCAAAAACTATCCACATGCCCCAAGCAGTAGTACACCACATAATGAAGAATGATCTCTGTCTGGAAAAGCAAAGAAGTTGCTTCCATAGCATATCAGTTCAACCTTGGCAAACCTCAAGCAACTGGAAAATGAAATGGGTTTATGCTATTCCATACAAAGACATACCAATGCAGCACCTATACATTTCTATGCAATCAGACTGTTAAAATGGGCACTGGGAAACTGTGGTACTCATACCTAGATGAAGTATGGAAAGTCAGCATGGTGGAGTGGTGTGCTTTGGACATGACAGCCATAGGTAAAATTTTTTGCAATAGAAACTATACTGCAGAGCTATTGTTAATATCATTGGTCTTCAGATAGAGCATGATCAGATGTGATGATGTGGACTATAACAAAATGATGAGGGTACAAAATCATTTTACATCATATTCAACCTTTGTACAAAAGAACTAAAGGAACCACTAACCCAGTGGGTATTTCCCCAATAATATCAACTCCATAGTTCTTGTTGAATTCTCCCATATAAGAAACCAGGGTAGCAAGAACCACCTGAAAAAAAAAAAATATATATATATCCATATATTTTATCAACACACTTGCATAAGTATATACATATATTTATAGAAATAATCAAAAATTTTAAATTTCCAGTTAAATGTATTAATTCACCAAGCACATTGTGCAGTACTTTCACAAAATTGTCTGTTGATCAACCACAAATAAAACTTGGAAATCTCTCTTATTAATTTCTATAAGTCAGATAGATGAATTACCAGTATATAGAAACTGTGTAATGCAGCACAAGATATGGTGTTAATATAATATTTGCTGTTTTATTTGGCAAAATGTTATAAACAGAAACTGTATTTGGTCTGAAATAGTTAGGAGTTCCTCATATTTCTCACCACTCTTTTTATTGCACTAGAGGCAAACAGAAAGATCTGCTGCATTGAAATTAATTTAATGATCAAGAATTGGAGAACTAACACCACAAACAACTACTTCCCACAAGAAAAAAACTAATGTTTTTCAATTCTACACAAGACTTAATGACGGACTCTTTTTTTCAGATTGATGTAAGTTACAAACAGAGCAAGTCATTACATTCCTAAAAAAGAAAATAAGTTAATTCTGATTGAGAAGAGGTTAGTTATTCTTTTCCACAATGTGGCCTTTCCCTAGCTCAACCACAATGATTTTAGGAGTCATAATATCTGTTATACTAAACATACCTACTTCCCCTCTCATCTATATACAGTAAACTGAGATCTCTAACATAATCTACACGTAACTTATGTAATACACAAAAAATCTGTAAAATTAGAAAAATTAAAAATGCTGCCTTCTATCCACAGGATTAATGTCAATTTTTAAAGTGAATTGACATTACATAGTGTTGCCACTGGCTATAACAGCTAGTTTGTCAAAAGAGAAAACTAGTTAGATATCCAAAATAGACATGTTCATTATTATGAAAACAAAATTTTTTCTGCATTTTACTTTCAATTATCTTTAATAATAAATTAAATAAAATTACTTCTTGGCAACAGATAACTATCTCAAAAACTAAACAATTGAATAAAAAGTTGCATTCTATTTTATTGGAGATATTCAGTGGACAGTCAATTTAGATTAAAGCCATGTTGAGGGAAAATAATGTCATAATAAAAGACTCAATTTTGGTTATCTTTTCTATAGAGTAAAACTAAGTGTGCAAAAACTTACCACTACTAGATCAATGGGAATAGGCAGTTTTAATTTCTCCCTGAAACGAGCATTAATTTGCTCCTTCACAACTGCTAAGATGAAGATGGAAATGGCTGCAATTAACACAGTAGCTGGATTTGCATTTTTTAGAATGGAAAAGATGTTAATTGAACTCTGAAATGTAATATAGAAGATGCTGAACAAAATGAAATATGTCTGGCATGTCATTAATTCTATGAAAGAACACTGAAAATAATTAATAAAAGTATATTATATACACAGATAACAGTGTGAACTACACTACAAACAGTTCAATTGCAAGCTGAATATCATATTATTTTTCATAATGTTACAAAGAACAAAAATTTAACATGCTTTAATTCAGAAAACCAAACCTTTGCCAAAATCAGTTCATTAACAGTCACAGAGAGATAGAAAAATTTGGGTGTATAAGAATAGTTCATAATTCCCAATTTTAGGTTAATTTATTAATTTTTGCTTAAAAATAATATCATGCAATGAAGAACCAGTGCTTATTATGTAAGAAAAGCAAATATATTTTTACTTACATAAATGACTTTGAAAGGACCTGTAAACCTACGTGCAGGGATACCAAACAAATATTTCAACTGAGAAACAACCACCAAAACAGAGGTACCAGTGCAAAATCCTGATACAAACTGATCCGAAAATACTACTGTCAGCGATCCTAAGTGAAGGATACCCATTACTATCTGTCCAGAAACAAAATTATTTTATAAGTTACACTGTTTTTAACACATTTCATTCATTTTCATGATATTTATCAGAAACAGATAACGAATTCAAGATTTACTATATATATACAAAACATTCTTTCAATTCACATCAAGTAGCTTTCATACTCTGTTTACCCATTTCAATCTTTTGCTTTTCATACACATCCCCTTCAGTTTGATTGAATATTTGTATACTAAAAGTTTCTGGCTACAGTATTATCACAACAATAATATACAGTTGATTTGTGTAACTGAATCTATATTTCATAAAGGAATTCGGTTAAAAATTAAAAACATATTTGGGCTGAATCACATATTATGTCAGTTAAGCCTTTATACTTTAAAACTATCAAGTACTAAAAACCAAACAACTAAAATACATTATTTATCCATAATAAGGATGACCGTTTATGGTAAAATAAACCCGGTAAATTATTGAACAGTGGCCAACTATTACACACTATTTTATCCTACCATAGGAAGTGTCAGATAACTAAATACCTGTAAATAATTATGGAAACATTGAGGAAAATGGGTATAAAAGGCAAATATTTTAGGAATTCCACCATATTATCCTGTGAAAATGAATTACACCAGAGCACAGTCATGTATTGATAGTTTACACTGTAACTGGTTCAATGGCAACCAATCATGAAGCTCAACATCAGCATAAAGCCTCCAGTGACTAAGATTGAGAATTCAAAGTTTTGGCTAGTTAAGGATCCTTTAAGAAAAATACTTGTAGCAAGATTCCACATTTCAGTAAGAACTATATGCAAGACTCACAAGAGTATACATGAAACTCACACTGTCATTGTTAATAATAGAAGTGGTTGAGGTAAAAGCCAAACCTCTCCAAAAGTGGCATTTAGCATTTCAGGACATCTTTTTTTTGAGACGGACAATGGCTGAATACCAATCTTGCCAATGACTTCACTATAAATACAGGTGTGAATGTTAAGAACAGTAAGATACGCATCATTAAAAAGTGTTCTCAACAGATATGTAGCTGCTCAAAAACCACTACTGCAAAGAGGCAACCAAACCAAAAAGATGAAATGGGCATTTGAACACAAACAGTAGAATGACCAAAGCATGAAGTGTATGCTTTTTACAGATGATCAAAGTTCAAATTTGTTTAATAGAGGAAAAGACAATTGTTTCACAATCAATGCACAACAACTAAAGTGAAGCATGGAGATAAATCAGTAGAACATGGGCATTTGAACACAAACAGTAGAATGACCAAAGCATGAAGTGTATGTTTTTTACAGATGATCAAAGTTCAAATTTGTTTAATAGAGGAAAAGACAATTGTTTCACAATCAATGCACAACAACTAAAGTGAAGCAAGGAGATAAATCAGTAGAAGTTCGGAGTGCTGCATCTCAGTTAACAGCATTCATAATCAACTAAAAATTGATGTCACCCTGACTGATGATAAGTACAAGTGTGGTAAATGAGCATACATGTGTTTTCTATCTCCTAGTATTGATATAGAAATGTTTCCAAATTTGTTATTTGTGCAGTTTCCACACAACATCTTGGTAAAGAAGATCAAGTTACCAACTGACAGTATGTTTCATTATAACTAACCAATCACATGGGTAGTGCTATTTGCTCTGCGTAAGTCTGACGTTAACAAGTTAAGTAAGTAACATGAGATTTATTCAGACTGGAATGTGATCTCAACAGTATTAATCTTGTATATGATATCATCCCGAGTTAGTCTATATACCACCTCACAGAACAACTTTAAACCTAACTCTCAAGTAAAGCAACTGTCTGTTGTGGTTAGTAAGGTATATTTTCACTTAGTTTACTTATTGTACTTATACAATTTTGTTCAGTCCCTACTTCTCACAAGCTCAGTCACAAAGAGAATTATTTCCCACTATATAATCTTACATATCTTCCATTATTCTGCATACTTATCTTTTCACCCTTAAGGTAAATGAGTGCTATATGGAAATACTATACAGGAACATGATTTATGAGACATGGTTTCAGCTTGTGAAAAACAATGATCCCAAGAATGCAGAAAATTGTGTGAAATGATACTTTGACAGCAAAGAAGCCAATGAAACATTCAACTATGGTTTGATCTGCACACAATCCCCATACGAACATTCTTGAGACTGTAGGGCTCGTGTAAAAACCGAGAATTTCAACAGATGACAAAAACTTTGCAAAATTATAATAAGTAATACAGAACATTTGGATCAATATTCTACAACTGTTCATTGATAAACTGTATGACAGCAACTGAAAACAAAGCGTAATGCCCTATGTAAATAAAAGGATTCACAAACATAATACTGGTAACTTGTACAACTTATTCCTTTTTTTCATATTTTCTCCAAAAGTTTACATTTTCCTATACCAAAAATGTATTTCTGATAACACCTCCTCTAACACTTTAGCTTTATCCCAACGAAAGTTTCTCTTCTGTGCCCATCTAAGCATTGATATGAGTTATACCTCACTTGCTTCAGTCTTTTTACCTCACTATATCACCCCTAGCAACTTTATTCGTGGGACTCTCTCCACCTACGTCAATGCACCTCCATACGAGATCTATATATAAGCTTCCCATTATTACTTCTTATTCACTTTTTTCAGACTGGCAAAATTATCATATCCGAACACAAGCCACAAGGTAAGTATTATCATAAATACATTTTCGCCATAGGAAAATGTAAACTTCCTTAACACACTTACATCCACTCACACTTTAGCTAGAATGCCACATTGACATGGGAGAGGGGCCAGTGTAGACAAAATCCACATCAAAAACGTGTGCAAATTGAGGTTTAGTATAGCACACTAGTGGGGTTTGCACTACTTCTGGAACAGGTATGCTCTTCAGCTGGATAATGTGAAATCTAGAAACGTGGGTGATGAAAGCCAACTGGCCACAATGTCAAAACCGTAACCTCATGAGAAGAAACATGCAAGAAGGGGCAACTATTCCAAAACTGGTTCCTCCTGCAAAACCAGAAACATCTAGTCTGGAAATATTGTACATGCTAATGAGAGTCATCCAGGCTCCAACCATGCTGACAAGGTCCTACATTTCATCGTTGGAATTATAGCTCCAAAGCTAGATCCAAGGTGTAGTGACTAGGTCATGGGGCCTCCAGTGTGATATAATTGTATTCTAGTAATATGATATTAAAGAAACCCAACCAAAAAGTTACAAAATGTTGCATGTCGAGCCACCGGAATTACAAAGAGAAAGCAAGCAACATTAAAGTGGATAAACCATCACAAAATGCAAGAAACCGAACTCAAAATTATGGGACTGGAAATCCAGTCTGAGAGTTACAGAATGTCGCATGTGAGCCAACAGAATTATGAAGACAAGACAAGCAACACTCAAGTGGAAAAACCTTCCCCCAACATGAAGAAGCACAGAACGCAACAAATTCGGAATTACGGGGCCCATTCACCCCTCACTTAACCTGGGATTACAAACCTAAGTCCTAACTCCCCATTCTCAGAGGCAAGGCAATACTTCCGCCTCCAGAATTACAAGGACAATGTGGAATAAACAAAATTCAACCAATGGCTCAAGGACTTGCGTTCCACTTGTAGAATTACGAGGAATCAAAGACCCTCTTCCATGTTCATGGAAAGAAATATAATGACCAAAAAGAAGGGCCATGCTCAAAACAACCAGATAGCAAAGTGTTATCTCTGAACCAGAATTATGATGAGAATCCTGTGTAGGCTGGTCCTGCTCCCACCAAACATCTGGAAAAAACATCCAGGATTATGGATGGGAGGGTATCCAGCTTTGCCCTCTTCTCCTTGAGTGAAACAGTGTTCAAACATCATTCAGGAGGAATAAACCTCTGTCCACCACTCCTGCAACTGGAAAATAGGAGCAGAAATACTTCCATTTTTCACTTTGTAGAAATGGGTGGAGAATTTGCGTTGGGGAGTCCTGAAGAACAATGTTTCTGAAACGGTGCAGTAAGTGAACCACATTCCCTATTTTGAAAAGCAAACCAACCCCAATTTATTCAGTCCAGAAGGTATGGTGATCCATAAGTGATGGTTCAGTATTGGATATAATGTATGGTACTGAATAATTGTGTACCACCCAGAAAGTGCCAAAATGGCCTTAGGGAACACCCCATCTCAACAGAGCTCGTTGCTACCATGAATTTTATTTATAAATCTACTGATAGCTAGTGTGAATTTGGAAAAAGCATACCTGACTAGGCAACACTTGCCACTGAATGGGATCCAAATGATAATGATGAGAGGGTCCCTGAAAATGAACAGAAGAACGCAGAAGAAATGAGGTCACTCACCTCTGTCACAATCAAGCCAGGGTGTGTCAAATAGCCACGGGTGTAGCCAAAACCCATCTGAGAAGGAAACTGTTAAACCATGTAAATAGTGTGATGTAAAGGTTTTAGGTATGGTTCACATACCAGCCTGTACAACTTCCTCCAGTGAGCAATGCAACCGAGCTGCCAGGGACATCGAGATAATCGTACTTGATAAGATGAAATCCACAGAAGTCTCTGCTCCTCCAATAAAAACCCAGAGTATGCCATACAAGCCAACTGAAGAATCCAATCGTCAAATTGACAGAGGATAAGTCATACAACACAGTAGGATTTCAACTGATAAACAAACAGTGACGAGAGATCCGAAATGCATCAGTGCATGCCACATAATATCGAAGAGTCCAAACCAGGCATAAAACACTATCCTGATCCAAACAATCATATGAATGTGAAATGGAGGGAAGATGAATAGAAGAGAAAGCCTTATCTCCTTCACTAGCTGCTGAAGTTTCAGGTAGAATACACCTGTCTGGATACAACAGAACACAAGTGGAATAGTAAATAGTCCTGTGAGCATGAAGTGCAAACACATCCAAACATCAATACCCACTAGCCAATAACAGAAGAAAATAACCTTTAAAGAAATGGAACTGCATGCACAGTTGAAGAAAGAGACAAGTATATTTGAAAAATTACCCATCCCATGGCCTGAAGGTGTAGAGGTGCAGGTTGAGCCCAACTTAGTCTGGAATTGAAAACCACCCCTAAATACACGAGGTACTATGTGGGAGTAAGAACAGACTTCTCCTTTTTTGGAAAGAAACCCAGCTCTCACACCTTCTGATAACAGAGTTTGAGTGTGAAGTTCTGCTAAGTGGCGGGAAGGGGCAATAAGAAACCAGTCATCCATGTAATGCTGAGTGGAAATGCCCAATGAGTGAAAATTACATGAAAAGAATCTGACTATCCAGCAAAAAATGTATGGGGTAGATGCAAGGCTGAATGGAAGAGTGCAAAACTGAAAAACCTGTCTCTCATACATGAAATAGAGGTAACGGTGTGAAGACTCCACTATCGAAATATGAAGATGGGCTTCAGTGATATAGAATTTTATCATCCATAGACTGGGTGAAAAAAGCCACCACAGTGAAAGAAACAATTCCATTATAATCCAAGGAGGTTGAAGGAAGCAATTGAGACAAGAAAGGTCAATGACAGTTCGCCAATCGCCCATTTTTTCAGTACTAGAAACAGCCAGGAATAGAAAACTTCTAGAGAGGAGTCAACATGCTCTATGGTCTCTTTGTACCAAAGATCCAAGAAGGATTGTGCTCCATGGCTGGATGTAAGAGGTTTGTTTGTTTTGAATTTCACGCAAAGCCATCCCTAATTTAGCAGTGAAAGACTAGAGGGAAGGCAGCTAGTCATCACCATCCACCACCAACTCTTGGGCTACTCTTTTACCAACAAATAGTGGGATTGACTGTCACATTATAAAGCCCTGATTACTGAGAAGCTAAGGAAGAAAGGGAAGAGTGGAGATGGGCCACATCCACTAAAGATCCAATAAAATGGGAATACCAGCAAAAATAGACTGTCAGAGAAAAGGAGCTTCTCAAAGATCTCTAAGGGCCAAAGCAGATAGGTGAACTCCCTACAGCATGGTATCCCTCTCCAAAAGATCCCAACAACAAACCAACCAAGATACCAAGGAGAGAACAGAAGCCAATAACCTGACCAAAGTATATGTCAATGAATGACTAAGATCATCCAAAAATTGTGCAGGAGATCTGTGATAAGCCTCAGACAACAGTTCCAAAGATGATAAAAAACACAAAACTGTTGTAAGTGACAGACCAATTCTGGAAAACTGAGATTAAGGAGAACAGTGAAATTTTGTCTAGAGCCCCAAATAAGACAAAGAGAATCTAAACTCTGAGAGTCCATATAAGATTTCTCCAGGAAATGGAAAGCCAAGGCATACTGATCCAATAAATGAGGAGGACAAGGCATGGCAGCACCCTCTCTCAAATGATAAGCAAATCTCCTCTATGCACAGCAGGTAATCAGACAAATGATTTTCCCCCAATAAAGAAGAGGATTTGCAAGATACAGGAGAAATACTCAAAATATTATAAACTCTGCATTCTAATTGCAAAAAAGGTTCAGGAGGCAGAATGCCTGTCCAAGGCTCATGATTAGCTGTCTGAGGAAAGGAAGGTGCCAGAAATATGAAAGTCTAAATTCTCACCAGTACACATGTAAGACTCTTATTAAGAACTGTATGTCCTCCGCAGAAAGTGGCTCCTCGATGCCTGGATGATACCAGATTTGCGAGTTGGTAGAGGAGGAGCATCAGGCAAATCTATGTCTGAGACATGAACATGTATATTTATATTCAAAAAATGTCTCCAAATATTTTTTTTTGGTTAAGTAAAACAACAATAATCTCTAAAAGAAAATGTCGAAAACATGGTAATAACACTGAAGAGAAACCCTCAGTAATCATGTAAGATCGTCATCATAATTTCTGCTGTTGAGAAAAAGTGAACAGGAAGTGATAATGGGAAGCTTATATACAGATCTTTTATAGAGGGCACACTGATGTAGGTGGAGAGAGTCACAAAAATAAAATTGCTATGGACAATATAGTGGGGTATTAAGAATGAAGCAAGCTAGGTATAATTCATACCAATGCTTAGATGGGCAAAGAAGAGAAACTTTTGTCGGGATAAAGCTAAAGTGTGAGAGGAGGTAAGTATGTTTTGGAATTGGTTCGTTCCATTAATAAATTTAATATATAGTTAATATTACTTGTTGATTGGGACTCCTTTATGTGTATAATTTTTATGTTCCCATAATTATTTTCAATATCATGGGTGTGTGTAATTTATTTTCTGTTATCATTTCTCACAAATCTGTTCTTTAATAGATCATTAAGCCCACCACAATTAGGTAGTAGACCTGTGGTATTTCCAGGTTAACCTGATTTTCTGAAAGAGTATTAAGTAGGTCAGCTTTATAATGAGAGGATTGGCAAGATAAAGTATGAAGTGACACTAAATTTCAAACCAAGTTTTAAGCTAAGAAGTAAAGAAAACAGACACAATGTGTGAGTAGAAAACGAAAAGAATCTTTATTAAATCAAAGATACAAAGCACAGTATGTGTACTTGTATTTGTACACTAGATTGTAGTCTTATATTGAACTCATGAATAAATTAACAGATTTTCCTCCCTCAAAATGTCTTTCCTTTCATCAACTCACTTGAGATCCTGTGCAGTACTGTTTAATGCTAACACTTCTTAATTAACAGGAAACAGAGGGTTTACCCACAGAAAATAGCAATATCAATGTGACTGGGGAGGCCTTAACCTCAAGAAATCCAACCAGTGGTGAAGGACACTGCTGATGTCTACAGTCTTACACAATGTGAAGCATTATAGCAATAACACCTGCAAGCAGAGCAAGTATTATCTCTATAGAACAGTAAAGCTAGAATGAAGTCAACAGTTTCTGGATTACATGTAGGAGGAGGATATCTGGCTGCAGATAAGCAGGAGATTTTTTTCTGCATCCAGCTACTACCAACACCAGATCCACCAGGAACCAGCATCCAGCAGATGGTAGGAAAAGAGACTGCCAACCTGTGGTGCATCTCCAGTCCAAAACTTGGCAGCAGTGGACATTTGTCATCCAGTCTACAGTTAGGAGAATGGAAACTGGCCAGCACACCTGTGAGGACTTACTTAGCTGGACCATCTGCAACCAACACCAGACCCACTGGGAATGTACATCCAGAGGATGGTAGGGAGGAAGAGCATCTGAGAGGCAAACTGCAATTTTATGAATATATATATATTTATTTATTTATTTGTGACATGGCAGAGTGCATCAACCAAAACCTGGTGGCATCTAGAATTGTACATCAGGTAGGAAGAGCATCAGAGATGGGTAGCAATTTTTGTCTGCTTTACTCATGTTAGTTCATGAGTGTACAGTCTGGGATGAACATACTTATGAAGCAAAAAACCACTAAAGAGAACGTCTAGCAGTTCTACAGAATACTCCATCTCTACGGTGTGCATAACCCAATTCTGCAACATAATTGTTTAGGCATAGATGACAATAGAACAGGGAGACACAACCAACACCTGGTGGCATTTGTAATTATACATCAGATCCATGATAGGAAGGGCTACAATGAGCATGGATGCAGGATGGACAGTGCAGATTTTCGAGAAAAAAAAGTATACCTGGTCAGGCACCATTTGCCACAGAGTGGGATCCACAATACAATAGCAAAAAGATCCCTGATAAGTAAGAAAAAAATTGGGGAAAAAAGCAACCTTGCACAATACCAAAATGTGAAAATGTAAATAAACAGTCAAGAAAAACTAAGTCAGCAGTATAACAGAAACGTCGACAAATCTGCAAGCAGAAATAAGCACACCTGTACAGCACTACTGCCAATTGAGAGGTGATTAATGAGTGTAGATGTGAAAAGGGTGCTGATTACAATAGGAGTGGTGTTGAGCTCCTATTGATAGTGAACTGCTGCATAATCATTCACATGTGGATATAACTGAGGTGGAAAGCTAGTGGCATGCATTGAAGATTTGCCCCAATAGAGGGCAGTGCTAGTCGAGAAAAGCTATTTTGTGAGAGGAGGTAAAATGTTGTAACAGAAATATACTGTTGTTATTTTTTAAAAACTACACAGGTATCATAAGTAAGCTACTTATAAGCTGAAGACAAAAAGCATTAACATAAACTGTTCTAAATGTATTATAATCTTTAGCCACACAATCATTTGAGTAAAATCATGTTACTTTTCGTGTAGAATACAACACACACACACACAAACCTTTTTGCCATGAAACTGATAGATAATGTTATTTTAGATTTTCTTAAGGAAGCATATTAGTTTATTACAGGTTATTAAACAATGGGCTTCCATAAATTTTTGTGTAAATCAGATGACTGCTTAATTTGTACTTTGCTGAAGACAAGTACTGTTGCAACATTGCAACTTTTAACCTATCTATTATAAAATTTTTGATTATTTACACATTTTTCCTGATCAAAGTTTGTAAAGAGACTCAAATATGAACCTCATTATTAGTAAAACAGATATTTATACACAATTTCAAATCTCAGTTCTCACCTAACTTTATTCATGTAACTCCTCTGAACAATCTTTGAGGCTGAAAGTATGCACAGATAAAGCAGTTTCTCTATAAGCTAGTATAAGTTCACTATGACAATGTTAATAAAAAAAAACATACAATATACCTGGAAAAGCCCTGTTATAAGGCAAAGAGAAACAACCACTTCCAAGTTTGTTGGAGGCCAGAATGGATCTCCACTACCATCAACTTCAACCATTGAGTGTAAAACTTGCTCAGTTGTGTTCAAACTTAGATTTACAGCAAAACCTGCTAAATCGGAGTTGACAACATCTTGTTTACTTACTGCCCCTAACTTTCCTGGTGCACTGCCTGCCATTAAACTGATGACAGCCATTGTACCTAAAAGATCACATTATATAAATTAAATATTTAGTGACATTAAATAAAAAAACAGAAGGGTGTTTTGCATACATTTTATCTTGCAAAATACTTTGACTGTGTCCTCTGACTTTAAGTATTATTATTACACATCTGATATCATTAAAGACGAAAGTAAATTCTGGGCTAGCGTGAATGATATCTGAGGAAGCTAACAATAAATATCCAGGCTAATTTTTTGCTCATCATATATTTCACAAGTAGATAATTTTACCAACTCCAAAAATCCATTTAAAGATATCATTAATAAAAGTTATAATTTTCCTATACTAAAAATGTATTTCCGACAGTTACTTACCTCCTCTCACAAAATTAGCTATTCTCATTCAGTGCTGCACTCTATATGCAAACTTTTTCTTTATACATGCCACAAGCCTATTGGAATTAAATTATTCCAGCGTGTCTCTTATGCAGATCATCATGCGTCACCAATAGAAGCATGACATCTTCACATGATGCATGTGACTCCTTCTACACTCCTCTACCAAACTATCATATTGAAGTTTGGCAGAAGACGTAAGCACTGGAGGAAAGTGGGGAGGAGGTAAGTACCTACTGGAAATCCATTATCAGTGTAGGAAAATTATAACTTCCAATATGAGCACTGAGCTATCGATCCAGGGACCCAACATCTGGTATCAAAAAGATGTCTATCAGATGCAACCAACTCCCCCAACCTGGAAACTTGCCGGAACCATCCAAAAGGTAATAACATCCCCATAGTATGATAGGACGAGGGAAAGCAAGAGGACAGAACCGTAACAATCCCACATACCACTACTGTGACTCACAACACAGATGGAGGAAAATCGAGGAAGGAAGATAGACAACCCAAAACATGTGTGAGGACTTATGTTGACTGGTTCTCCTCTAAATCCAAAACCCAGCCTCAGAGTACCGACATCCGGATGGGGATAGAATGAGGGTTTCCAATCAAAGGGGTTAACAACATTTTGATGTATCACTCCTTCATAATTCTATATTTCAAAGAGGAGGACCATACGTCATCTAAACCTGCAGAACATCACCACCCTACTCTGCACTGAATGGTTATAGCCATTTTTTGTGAGGAACCCATTAAGGAGGTTGCCTCCATGGTTAACCACCCCAGCAGCTTGGAACTGGAAAATGTTAAGGACTTCCATACTCTACTAGAAGAAAGGAGGGTGAAAAGGTGAAGGAGAGACCAGAGGAATGTCATCACATGAGACAGTGTAATGGGTGACCACAAAACCTTATTTTGAAAAGCTATTCACTATAGGCATGGCAGGGATGGGCAGCTATCCTCTTCTGCTTTACCCACGCAGTCCATGGGTGCTATGGTCTGGGATGTGCATGTTTATGAAGCAAAATATCATGAGATTATTCACCTACAAGTGATCTTGTGGTACACCCCATCTCAACTGTGAGCATTGTGAAGCCATGGAATATAAAGTGCATGTTAAAATGGCTGTACAATGCAGATTTCAAGTTGAAGAATACCTGGTAGGGCACCACTTACAACAGAGCATGATACATATAATGAGGAATAAAGAAAACGGCCCCTGAAAAGAAAAGAAAGTATAAATAGAAACTTACCAGTCAGAGTTGCACCAAAGTCTAAAAAACAGCCACAGGTGAAGAATGAAAACCTGATGAAGAAACAACAACGATATGATGTAGATAATGGGAGACAAACGTATTGGGCATGATTCACATTACTGATTGTAGAATTTCCTCCAATAGACAAATATACAGAAAGCGCGGGAAAAGGTGAGATGTGTAATCTGATAAGAAGACGCCTGTAATAAATTCCAAGAGGAAGAAGGCAAGGAGGAATAAGCCAATCGGATCAAAGTTGGACCCAATTTGTAAGGTTGAAAGTGAAAGATCACAAAGGGAGGAAGACTGCCAGAGGATAAAGAGTTGGGAACAAGTACCACAGAAGGAAGCTGTCGAGGTAATATAACAACAAGAGCCCTGACCAGACACAGAAGTCTATCTGGATCCTGTTACAGGTAAAGATAAGAAATGGAAGGAAGGGAAATAGGCAAACAGAAGGAGCTTCCCTCCCGAGCTGCCAAGATCTTTGGGAGGAAAGAATGATCCAGATAAAGGAGACGATAGGTTGGGTGATAAAATGTACATGAAACATCAATGGCAAACAAATCTGATCATGAACATCCACAGGCTTAAAAGAGAAGGAAATACATTTTAAAGGAAAGGTAAAACATGGAACATGAAGAAAATGGTTCAAACAGAGGTAAAATGAAGAAATGGAGTACCACATTAACATCCCAATACAGAATGGTAGGTTGCCTGGGAGGGTGATACAACCAGAAGGAACACATTAGCATGGTAAGGACAGGTGAAGTAAAAGCTCTACGGTATTGGGAAAAATGAAAAGTATGAGATAAGGCCACCAAATAACCTGAGAGTGAGGAGACCGAGGACCCCTGGTCAAAAAGCAAAGTAAGAAATTCCACAGTAGGCTGGACAGAGAGAAATCCTCTAGTTGTAGACCAACTGCAGAACACCTTCCACTTGTGCTGATACACCTCAATGGAAAAAGGTCATATGGAATCAGCTAAAAGGAAAATGACTTGACTGGAGAAACCAGAAGAGGTACAGGAGGGGAGAGTAGCAGGTGCTGTAGCACCAGAAACTGTGGCTGAGCTAGCCAATAAGGAGCACATCAGAAGGACCTGACAAGAAGTGGTATTGATGAGAGAGATCACCCAATGAAGTAATCAGATAGGAGAATAAACATAAAGATATTTGTGGGACCAATCTTAGCTGAAGACATTGACTGCCAGAGGATGAGGGACCAGCAACCAAAAGAGAAATAACTTGTGTATGAGGCTTGTAGCAAATGCATTAATGTGAACCCCACGGACTGCAAATCTCCCTGAAAACATGGGAATCTAAGGATCACACAGTTGGCTATATCTGGTCAAAACGGGAAAGGCAATCTAAAAGCACCCGGCACATAACGTGCAATGAGATGATTGTGTTGCATGTGGATACAGTATAAGAGATCCAACATCTGAAAACATAACTCTCTCGACCGGGTGCCCCCTTGATGACTGATATGTACCACCACCATAGAATTGTTGGAATGAACCATCATTAGACAATGTTGGTCAAGAAGAAGGAAGTGATTCAATGTACAACTAGAAGTTTGAGAACGTTGATATGAAAAGTGCTTTCATCCACAGACCAATGGCTCAAAGCTTTCTGTTGGTTGACCCATGCACCCCAGCCCTGCAGGGATGTGCCCATGAAAAGATGTAGACACGGGGGAGGAAGTGGCACACCTGCTGAAGTATGTGTCTTGTCCAATCACCAAGCAGATCATCTCGCATGGTAAGAGGAAGGGTAATTGGAGTAGAAAGAGGATCCCACACAAGGTTTCATTGATCATGAAGAGCCCACTGAAGGGATCTCATATAGGCACAACCGAGAGGAACTAGTGAGGTCATTGAACACGTCCCCAAAAGCAATAGAACCTCGCGAGGGGTATGTGATGGAACCGAGAATGTATGGTGAGCTAACAATTCCAAAGAACTCCCAAATGGATGAGATATTGAGTAGATCTGAGGAAGGACTTCTATAATTTGATTAACCAGGGCACTCGAGCAGCCATTAAAATGAGCTGCTGAGTATGGCTGGCCAAATCAAGTTCAGAATGAGCCAGAAGAAGCCAGTCGTCCATGTGAAAATTAAATCCTAGAGCATGAAGATGTCAAAAAAATGCTCAGACTATCCGACAGAAAACATAAGGGGCTGAAGCAAGCCCAAATGGTAGGGCTTGAAATTGGTAAACCACTTTGAGATGGACGAGACAGAGGTGATATAGGTATATGAAGATAAACCTTGGTGACATCCACTTTGGTCATCCATATACCCAAGGAAAATGCTCACCTCAAGGTGAGAAAAACTCCATGGTAAACATGGGCAGGTGAACAAAGCAGTTAAGGTGAGATAAATCTATGACCAGTCTCCACTTTTCTTGGGAACAACAAAAAAGTCAAGAATCAAAACCTGTGAAAGGATGGAGAACAGGTTCAATGGCCTGCATAGATAGCAATTTTCAAACCACTTCCAACAGACACTGTCTGGTCATGGGATTCTGAGGAGGAGGGAAGGAAATGGGGAAAAGAGATATGGGAGATGGGGGAAAAAAGGGGATCATGAATCCTTCTGATAAAACCTGAAGAACCTATTGATCCTCGATGAAGAATATCGGCAAGCCGAGCTCCCACTGGACCAGAACTCACTGAGTAGTCACCAGTACTGTTGATGATGTGAAGTGAGTCATAAAAAAACAACAACAATGGACAAAACATGAAATTGTTATAGGTGGCAAATATGGCTCCAACTGAGACAAGTGTGCAACAATATCAGTATGGGTAGATTGTTGAACAGATGCCACCTGTGGCTCTAGTGTTTCTGGGATCGTGTCAAAAATGTATCGCTGAAGAAATGGAGCCCATATGTAAATGTCAAAGATAAGTCAATGGTAAACAGACCCGAGCCAAAATCGCATCACGACCTAGAAGGTCCCAACAACAGAGCTGAAGAGGTCAAACAAGCTAGTGTGGAAGAAAGAAGGGAAAGGGTATCCACAGAAATCCCCTCAGGATTTCTGAGGAGAGCCTCAGAGAGAAGGTGTGGAGAAAAAGATACCGTAAAAGAGTTGTAAGGGTAAGACACATGCAAGAATACTGGGCATGGGTCAGACTGACAGATGATTCAGGAGCTACCCTCCAAACAGGCAATATGGAACCTACCAACTGTTGGTCCAAAAAGGAACAATCAGCACGATGGTATGAAAGCAAAAACTGATTTGAATCCCACTAGGGGCAAGGCATGTTAATCCCATCACTTAATTGTGAGGCAAGTTGATCAGCATGAACCCGAATATCAAGGGAGGGAGGAAAAACCAAAAAGGGGTGGGAAGATTGGTTATGTCGTAAGGAAGAATGTGGCTCATAAGAATTAGGAGAAATAGACGATCCAAGTCCTCATCAGGAACTGGGGCAAGGGCCAGGATAAAGGCTGGCCCATGTAATGTTTGATCTCCTCACTGATTAATGCAGATAAATCTACCATCAGGTCACCTGCACCTGCAGCCTGAGAAAGAACACTAGTCGCTGGTGTAATCCCCAAAGTAGTAACATGAACTTCAGAATTCATTGTGAAAAACAGTTCACCAAATTCAAGCGGTGAAAAAGAATAATGCAACTGGAACAAACTGATAAAAATTTAAAGTGAAGAAACTGTCTGAATGAAAATTAAATAAATTAAAGAAAACCACTTCGTGAGGAAACTTAAACTGATTGTGAATCTTTAAACAAACAAGAAGCACATCTGAACACAAGCGCTTCCAAACGAGAAGTGGTAGTTTGGTAGAGGAGTATAGAGGGAGTCACATGCGTCACGTGAGCATGTCATGCTCCTATTGATGGATAAGTGACTTATGATTATTTGCATGAGAGACACGTTCAAATCTTTCAATTCCAATAAGGGAGAGCAGAAGGCTTGTGGCATGCGTATATAAAAAAAAGTTTGCTAATTCTGTGAGAGGAGGTAAGTATTGTATCAGAATGTTATCCTGTTAACAAAAAATATAATTATTGAATAATTTTCTCTATGTTACTATAGTAGTAACTGGATAAGACTAAATAATAATTATAAACATTCTAAATGCTACTTAGTTTTCTTGGTACTTAAATAAGAAATGATTCTTTCCTCATAAAAAATGGTTAACAGAAAACACAGCATAGTTTCTGTTTGAAACAATGGATGCTTAATGTTTCAAGAAAATGGAGTTATGGAGTTGATAAGCAATTTTAACAGCTCTATCAGACTATCATATCAAAAAATATATAATATTTTTCAACCTCTAGCTAACTATAATATTAACTTACTACTTTAAAGGGAATTTTCTAAGAATCCTTTACATTCCTTATACAATAAATCTTACACAACAGTAAACCACTTTTATGTATATTTACATTAAATGAGGACTATCTACTGCAATAAAATATTAGTCTTCTACTTACAAACTTCTTGTTACTGATACAAAATAAACACTAACCAAACTGTAAGTAAAATAAAAATGTCAAGTAACAAATCATAAAAACAAAGACACAATTTGTTTATGGAAAGCAAATTACAATACAGCAAATCTTAGTTGTGTTAACTACAATCAAAGGCATGATCCATTCAACCCGGATACTTTCTCCCTACTCCCTTCTTCTATATTCTTTTATCAACTGTTCAGCAAATACAAACTGTTCAATACAATGCCTGCATATCAAAGTAAGTTTGAAGAAACAGTCTTTTTCAATTAAAGGTGTGATTCACCCAGCTCTAGTAACAATCTCCAACTTTAGAGATCAGCAATGCAGCAGTAATTCATTTAAATTCTTCTTCTGGCTAGTAATCTGATTTGTTTAGAAACAAAAGGTGGGTTGATTTTTCAGTAGCCATCTCCCGATGAACATCTGGTGTATTGTGACCAATGAAATTCAGTTCCAGGTCAAACCACACAAGGGCATTTCTGGCTGTTAATTACTCTTGGCTTACAACAATTACTGTCTGACCCCTAATTTGCTGGAACTAAGGTCAAAATGGAAATAAATAAATATTGAAATGTTATAAATCATCAGTTACATACAGCTCAGCTATTCACATCTTCAAACTGTTATGCTTGTAAGAACCATAAAAACATAATGATGTAATAAAATCCTTACATAATAAGACTTTTAAATACTAAGCTTACGTAACAATGCCAAAAACTTACCAACAGACACCTGTCGAGAAGTCCCCATCATACAGTATATAAGAACAGGGAAAAATGAAGTATAAAGACCATTGACTGGGTCGACAGATGCTAATAAGCCATACGCCATTCCTAAAATACAAATGTTTAATATGAAACAAAACAATAACGTATTTCTGTGCATAATTTTTTCCCTCTCTCAGAATTCAGTGCTGTCAGAAAAATATGAGTGTTAGGCTGATGGTTAATTTATTTTTTTACATTCTTTGAGGCCCACTGAAACTTAACTTATAAATATAATACCACTTTGCTGTTTGTCTTCTTTTTCATATGTCCAAGGAAAGCCAAATCTAAATTCTTAACAATATTTAATACAGGACTATCATACCAATCCTTAACTGTCAGTCAATAGTGGCAACAGAAGTAAATGAAGAATGTGAAACTTATCCAATGTTGAAAAATCATTTATGTGTATGTGATGTAAGGTCTTCCCAGTGAAAATACTACATTGACTTGTTTCTTAAGCTTTATTTAACATTTTTACTGCTTTTATCATTTTTTCCAACAAATTTTTTGTGGTAAACATACTACAGATGTAAAAATGTAGGATTTTGTTTTTTTGGGGGGAGGAGAGGTTTGTTTCTGAAATCAATAACTCATGTACCCCTAAACAGTGTAAATCATGTATCAGTAACAATCCAGCACTTAGTCCAAAGCAATGTTTGTGTCAGACTGAAAATACACATTAACAAACAAGTGGTTACAAAATCAATCAACCCCATATAGAAAGAGTTAAGCAAAAAATCTTTGCTAAACCGATTCAAAAATCATTTCAAACAGAGGGTAACATCCTTAGAAGGACAATACTAAATTAACTTCTCCCCTCCACAAAAAAAATGAATGTTTTTGTTTTAGTGGTTAAATTTTTGAAACTGGATTATTTTTTACATTGCCACTTGTAAAAGCTAACCTCAAATAGCACTAGAATTGATGTTCTGATACTTATCAAAGTGTTTGAAAACATTTCTCCATTTCCCATGAGGTGTAAAAGTGTTTCTTTGTTTACTTGTAGGATAAGCACAAAGCAACAATGAACTATCAATACTGTGCCAATCACAGATAGTAAATCCTGATTTTCAGTATTATAAGCCTTTAGACTTACTGTTGAGCCACTACTGGCTATGTAAAGGTGCTGAAAATTAAAATGTCAAAAATATAAAATATATAATCTACAAAAGAACGCAAGTCTATATTTTATCTATAAGTAGCAGGGAAACATTACAATAATACTTTTCATGAGCTCCTCCAATATTCTTTAATCACTGATGTTCAAGTGTAGTATTCTAACTATGTATAAAATCATTATTAATTTTCATTCCTCAGAATGACTGAATAACTTACTAAAGATAGTTTATTCTGCATGAGCAAGAGTAATCTCTTTTAATATCTAAAAACAAAAAAAACTTTAGTCTGGTTGATTCCCCCCACACAAATGTTAATTAGAATATATATAAACAGAACAAGATAGAGTTCATTTCCTCTGAGAATAAAATGAAATAAAACACAAGTCTCAAAATTTAAGAATAATTTTCATCCTTAGCAGTTTCACATCTATAGATGCTCCTCATAGTAAAACCATAAAACTTAAAACATTCATACAGACTAAACCTAACCAATAAAACACTTTCTTTTATAAAAAAATCAACTTTGTTGATTTTTCTCTTTGCTTCCTCTACATTTTAAAATATTGAGTGTTACATTATATTTGTTAATCAAATAATTTTCATACAAATTTTTAATTTTCACTATTAAAAAATCCATAAAGGGTATACTTCAAAAAAATAGTTCCAATAGTCCACCAAAGTTAGCATTTTCCCTACCTGAAAATGTATTGCAGATAGATACTCACCTCTCCACAGAACAATCAGCTAACACCTTGGAGCTGCTGCAGAAAAGTGTTTATTTGGAAGCACCAACACAATGAAAGATCTCTCAGACCTACACATAAAAATATGTACCACACTAATCCATGTTGTCAACACAGAACAATCAGCTAACACCTTGGAGCTGCTGCAGAAAAGTGTTTATTTGGAAGCACCAACACAATGAAAGATCTCTCAGACCTACACATAAAAATATGTACCACACTAATCTATGTTGTCAAACAGCCTCAAACCATACACCTCCACCAATAGGAGGGCATGGCAACCTCTTTGCATAGTACTCCCTTCATAAGCACTTTGTATAAACCATAAGCTCATTCTTGATAAGGTAAATAGACACTTTGGGAGTGGGGAGGTAAGGTAGGTTGTTCTGTGGAGAGATGTGTTTCTATCTGAAATACATTTTTAGGTAGGGAAAATGTTAACTTCAGACTACAGTACTTATCTCTCCACAGAACAACAATTACATAAAATCCCACAATGAAAAGATGGTGAAGGGCCCAGTTGATGAATGAAATTAAAAATTATGAGCTCCTTTCTGAGAATATGGCAACAGCAAAGGAAACTTATGAACCATCAGAGGGGGGAGAGTGTAGTCAGTGCAGCACTCAGTGCAAGATCACATCCATCCATATCGAGGAATGCTTTTTTCCCAGTATTCATGGCTGGCCAGAAAAGTTCTTTCAAAACAGTTTTATGTTTTTTGCAAAAGTATCACAAAGTGGAATGTGGAGTTTGTTGCAAAGGTGGGTGGAATGTGGAGGTTACTGAACTGCTTTATATATCCTAAAGGGTTGACAGACTATAGAGGTATGACTATGGCAGTATGTCAAATTGTACAGTATGTGAGAAATACTTACAAGAATATGCAAGTTCAGGAATGAATCACTGCAGACCTGCATTCCAAGAACTCAAGACCCATCTAGCTAGTTACAAATACCAAGAATGGACTGGTTCATATCAGTGGGATTACACTGACCAAAGGGGGAACTCACCATATCAACCCCTTCCCACAGTAGCTTGGTTCTGGGAAAACAAAGGTTCTCTCACTCCACTAAATTAGATTGGGAGGGAGAATACTGAAGAGGTGCATGGACTGAATAAGAATTTTCATCTATCTAAGGTCCCTCCATTCACCAAGTGACCCTACAATGGATTACCACATATAGGGACAGCAGGGTCTGCCTTCTTAGGTGATTGTTTAGCCTCTCTTTTTTTCCATATAACTTGGAAGGTAATAGAAACTATATGTACTTCCAAAGCAGTATTTGTTTGTTTGTTTGTTTTGGAATTTCGCGCAAAGCTACACGAGGGCTATCTGCGCTAGCCTTCCCT